GCCTGAGCCCCTGCTCCCCACGGGGCCAGTGCCAGCCCAGCATGGGCGCCAACACCTCGTCCGCCAACGTGGACACCAACGCCTCCTCCTCGGTGGTGGGCGGCAGCGCGTGGAGGGGCCGGGAGCCCTTCTCCGTCTTCACCGTCCTCATCCTGACCCTGCTGGTGCTCCTGACCGTGGCCACCTTCCTCTGGAACCTGCTGGTGCTGGCGACCATCCTGCGAGTGAAGGCCTTCCACCGGGTGCCCCACAACCTGGTGGCCTCCACGGCGGTGTCGGACGTGCTGGTGGCGGCCCTGGTGATGCCGCTGAGCCTGGTGAAGGAGCTGTCGGCCGGGCGGCGGTGGCGGCTGGGCCGGGAGCTGTGCCTCGTGTGGGTGTGCTTCGACGTGCTGTGCTGCACGGCCAGCATCTGGAACGTGACTGCCATCGCCCTGGACCGCTACTGGTCCGTCACCCGGCAGCTGCAGTACACGCTGCTCGCCCGCCGCCGCATCTCCAATGTCATGATCGCTCTCACCTGGCTGCTCTCCGCCGCCATCTCCCTCGCCCCGCTCCTGGGCTGGGGCGAGACCTACAGCCCCGAGCAGGAGCGCTGCCAGCTCAGCCAGGACCCGTCCTACACCATCGTCTCCACGGGCGGGGCGTTCTACCTGCCCCTCTGCGTGGTGCTCTTCGTCTACTGGAAGATCTACAAGGCGTCCAAGTTCCACATGGGGGGCCGCAGGAGGAACGCCGTGGCGCCCCTGCCCGAGGCTGCCCAGGTAAGGCTGGGCAAGAGGAGGGAGCCCCTGCTGCTCCCCAGGCACTGCCATCCTGCTTCTCGCCAGCTCCCGGCCCTCACCCCTGCCATGGTGGGTTCGGCGCAGCGAGAAGGCTGCGAGGTGCCCGGGGGCTCCCCAGTGAGTTTAACTTTGTCACAGGCTGGACGTGAGCAGTAGTGAGCCAGCCAAGAAGTGCAGCTCCTGGAGAAGAGCTTTATTCTCTTTTTTTCCTTGTGTGATATAAGAGTAAGGGGCAGGTGCATTCACTGCCAGTCGAGAGAGATTTTTGAAAATTGTCTCTTTGTTTTGAATTTTCTGTTCCTTGGGCTTTTTGTCCTCCTTACATTTTTTTATTGCGTTGATGAAGTAAAAAAAGACATAAACAGATCCCCAGGCCCTGTACCGAGATAAATGCACATTTATCTACAGCACAGACTTTGTGTGTCTGAATAGATTTTGGTAAGCAAATTACACACTATACACTATATATATATACATATTGATGTGTTTGGGCTATTTTACCTTCGATGCTGCTCACTGCCTAATGTTGAAGCAATGATCAATTGTTTCTGGTTTAAAATCACCTGCTGGCTTCAAAACCATGTTCTTCTTATCCCAAAGATTGTCTGTAATGCTGCAGTGCCCTAGCCATTTGGGAGATCTCGTTCATTTTGGGGATACGCCTTGCTGACAGGAATGCTGTGTCCCTTCAGAAGAGTTGGGGTTGGCTCCTTGTGCCCCATAAGTCAGGCCAGGTTCTTTTCATGATGCTGCTGTCACCCGTTCCATGCCTCCACCTTGCTTGGCTGTGAACTTTCCCTGCTTTCTGTCACATACTCTTACTCTCACTCCTACCAGTCTTTATGTTTTTGTGATTGCATGTTGCGTTTCCTAAGCCCAGTCCCTTCCCAGTAGCCAAAGATGAGCTGTGTGGATGTTAGGGATACCTACAGAGAGCATTTCCATTGGGACTAATCCTGTGGAGCCTCATTCCCCTGCAAAATCCTGTCTTTGCTTTGGAGTCAAGGAAGCTCATTATTACGGTGACAAGTAAGAGTCTGGAGGTTGTGTCCCCAGATTCTTGCAAGAAATAACAGCACTGGCAATCACATGTGATTAGTCTCGCAGATTTGAATCATAATGTCTTGAAGATACTTTTAATATATATTGATTTATGAAGGTATCTTCTGTGGAAAAGCAAAATATTTCTTCGAAAAGTTAAGACTTTTTTTCCTACGATCTTCAGCCCCTAGTCTGCACCAAATTTCTTTCAAATGGTTTTAAGTATGATGAAAGTATTGCTTGGAATTAATGTATAATCTCTTCAAGCACAAAAGCCAGCTGATGATTTGTAGTGCTTTTGCATTCTCTGTCTTTTACATACACACATACCCATACAGGACTAACTGTTTGGAATCTAAAATTCTGGGAAGGGAAATGAGCTGAGGCACTGCTGCTCAAGGCAGTGGAGAGACACATCACATGGCAGTTTTAGCAAGACACAGTCTGGCTGCAAATTGTCAAAGTTCTGTCTGCAAGAGGCCCTGCGTGGGCCCAGCACGGCTGCCAGGTGAGTGCAGCGTCTGGGGGCTGCTTTAGGCTGCACTGGCAAAAGGGCTCTGGGGGAGTGAGCTAAACATCCATTTTGGAGGGGTTATATAATACCAGCAAATGCTCAAGCCTTTGCTTGAGTAGGTCTTCTTTCTCATATTGGTTTGATTGACATATTAACTTCTCCTAAAAGGGATTCTTGAATCTGCAATTGGTGTGTAGTGACAACTTCCTCCGTTGTCCCAGCAGCTCTGTTTGCTGACTTAAATTAAAAGACTTCTGATTCAGATGCCAACTTGACTTCTCACCTGAAGGAAGAGCTGATGCTGCACGTGTGTACATTAAATGAACTTGTGGATCAAGCCAGCTGGCATTCAGGATGCATTTCTTGTTTTCTTTCTAAATTAAGATACCAATATTTACATAGCAAGTGTTATCCTGATCCTTTTTAAGCTTGTGGTAGTAGGATCCATCACATCCACAGGAGGAGTAGCAGTTCCCCAGTGAATTCTGGAGGGGAATCTTCACACACACATCCTACTGTTCTTTGGCAAAACCCTGTTTTATTTTAACATGCAAACACAAAGGTAACATTGCCAAGCTTTGCTTCTCCGCATGCAGGGGGGATCAGGCTGTCAGCATCAGCTCTCTCCTCTCTGTTGGGGCAAATTCAGTTCTGCTTCTTGTGGTTTGCCTATAAAATCATTCTTGTTTTCCCTTTCTTTCTCCCTTGATGTCTCTCTTTCCTCTACTTTCTTCCATGTCCATTCTCAGAGAATGCTCACCTGTCATACTCACCCTGGCAACATTTTCCTTCTGTCACTGTGACTCTGGATATCAATTCCCCTCTGCATCTATGTCAGTTCTCACTCCAGGTGCCCTGCACCAGTTGATCTGAGGAATATTAGTGGGTTTTTTTTGGCAGACAGTGCCAAAGGCTGGCAGTGCTTCCTAGTCTGGAGGTGAGCAATAACAGCAGGGATCCCTGCTGGGAAAGATGTCTGTGTTGCACTCAGGAATGAGCTGTCAGGTACTGTCAGGGCTGCAGTCCACGGCCTGAGGTACAACCAACTGGTTAATTCTGCCAAAACTAAGGACAGAAAAGGTCAGATGCCATAACAGTTGCCAATAGGGATGCTTTGGAAAAACCAGTGCACAAAGTGGAGCAGTGAGGGTGGTACCTCGATGTTTGTCAACCAACTGAGTCAGGCATCAAAGTGCTTTGTAGGTTGTCCCTGTATATGAGTGCATATAAATATATATATAATGGTTTGGGTTTGGTTTTTTTTCACAGAGAATGGGCATATCTTTGAAACTGGGCATTGGCATACGTACCTTATGCTCCTGTACTCTTAGAGCTGCAGAACAGAATAGTTACAGAATAATTATTTTGAGTCATTCTTTGGTTAAAATTTTGCTTTTGTTGCTGGAAAATACTTTTCAAAAAATTTGGGTGAGAGAGATGGGCATGAAACATCTGAGATGCTTCAGGTTTTAATGAGAGCTTGGTTTTTTGCTTTCCTTTGAAATAAAATAATTGCCAAATTGGGATCCTAAATTAAGCTGGTGCTTTTATAATTATTTTTTTGCCAATTATGAAACTCCCTAAAAAGTGAATTCTGTAGGCAACACTGATGTGAGTGACCCTCATTAAAAATCTAGTGACATACCATCACTGACAGAGAGCTATGCTCTGTCACACCTTGTTGACAGCAGGCGATAATTCTCTCTCTGAACAGTCCAATTGAAATAAATGAGACTGCTTGAAAAACGGCAGATACTGCTGGATAGTGCCCTTTTAAATCAGTGAAATCCCTTGTAGCATAGGGATAGCCCAGCAAAACCAAGGATGATGGGATCTGAATTTTTGCATAACTTACACGTAGCAATGGCAAAATCAGGTTTAAAATTTCATATGAAGAGTTAAAAATCAAGTTCTGTTGATGGTGGAGGTTTTGTTGGGGTTTTTTTAGTTTATTTTCATCCACCCCTCTCAAAATACTTATATAGTGTATAAAAACATTAGGTATGATCCAAACCTTAGAGTTTTGTGAGAGTCCTTCCCACTTTGGATAACATCTGGCCCCAGAGCTCCAGAAGTGATGTGTTGTTCTGCATCTTGGCCCATTCATCTTCTCCAAATCACTTAAGCAGTCAGGACAATGTGGGAGAGAATACAGATTCTTCTTTTCTGAAGGGGTCACGGGCATTTTATTTCTTATTTCTGCCTCTGTATAAGTAGAAGAGATGGGTCAGGAAACAAAGTTCAGCTGTCCAGAAGAGTTGCCAAAAATGTCCAGAAAGGAGTTAGGCAGGAAGCAAAATGGAGTGGGTAGTGATATCTTGGTAGAAATACAGTTAGTCCTGCTTACAGCAGAAGAAAATCCTGTGAGAGAATGTGGGCATTCTCCCTGTCAAATGAACTGTTTGTCATGTTGGTGGAGCATCCAAGAGAGTATAGACATTTCTGTTTTGATCCTTTGTTGTGCATTTAGCTTCTTGTGTTCTTGTTCAAAGAGCAAGAAGTGTGCCAGGGCTGCACTGAGGCAGTAATGACCTCTGCTGAACCACACTGTGATAGGCAAGCTCTGAAATTGTGGTGCTAAACCAGATTTGATTGATGTTTATCATCTTTACTGTTGTTTTGTTATTGCAGACCCTGCAGGTGCAGGACAAACACAGAGTACCTGCCACAAAGGACGAGTAATAATAATAATCATTAAAGCAATAAGGAACATTTTAAATCAAGGGATTTTGTCAGAAGCTCCTTGGTTGTATGTTTTCTGTGATATTCTAGGAACACAGGACAGCTCTGGGAACAGGTAGCCATTTAGGAGTAGTAATTTACTGGGTACAGACAAACAGAAGGGTATTGAACTGTAATTGCTGATCAATGTACAGAAGAATGAATTCTGGAACTAAAACCAAATTCCTTTGTGACTGTAGAAGGATTTGTACTTGAGCTCATTCCCTTCATTTAATCTCTTTATTATTCCCACAGAACAGCAGTCATCTCTGCACTTCTCACAGCCTGTTGTCCTGGAAATAGCTGATTTCACGAGTTCAGAATTCTGGCCTCAGAGTAGCAGTCCTTTCATAGCAGCTATTTCCCCAGTGCTCCTCACTCGCAGCTCCTGGAGCGGTGCCTGGGCAGATGGAAGGAAATCTGTGCCCAAGGCAGAGTGTGCTGCTAGACACCGAGTGAGAGCAGTGTGCAACACTGCAGAGATGGCTCCAGCATAACCCAAGGCATCTCCGTGGACTGCTCTGATGTAGTCTGTGACCACCTCTTCTGCTGTCACAGCTTGCTTGCTAGTGCTCACTAGTAAGCCCAAAATGGGGATAAAGGTTCTGTACTTGTCTTTTGTTCTGTGTGGTACAGGGATAAAGGTCAGCTGTTGTGACTTACATTGGGAACTGGAGTCGTGCAAAGCCTCTGAGACTGGCACTGGGAACTGCAGGTTTGGTACAGTTAGAGCTGCATTTAGTTCTAGCAAGTAATTTACAAAATGTACCATGATCTATTTTCACTTGCTGTTTTGTATTCAAAGGCCTGACCTAACAGCCTTCAGTAGGAGCTTCAGCAGGCTGTAAATGCAGGCTTCATTGTGGAAAACACCTGAGGACTGAGGCATCTTCTAGCAAAGGAAATGAAATAACTTCTTCTTACAATATGTAATTAAGTGATAAAATAATTCACTGTCAGAATTTACTGCTAGTAAATTCTGCAATCAGAAGTAGGGAGAAGGCTCTGATTTGATGATGGCACACAGCAAGCTCCATCTTTTGAGCAAGAGTTGAAGGTTAAATACAGTACCAAACTGTGCCTGATGCTCATGACAATGTCCTTTGTGTGGCTGTTCCCAAGAGGCACTTATGTAACTATTCCTCAGGGCTAAGACATAATCTTTCAGGGTTGCTTGTCACAGATTTGTCCTCGTGTCATACATTCATCCCTTTTTGCAGAGTGTGATTAAGGACGTGCAGAGCAAGTCCTTCTGCAGACAAATGGTGTGATCCTTGCTACATGAGGGGTGTCCCATTTTAATTGTCAGTACGGATGTGATTTTCATTTTCCTCCATTATTTGCCTGCACCTATAATCTGCAGTTCTGATGTTCTGCAGCCCTGTCTCATGTCTGAGGGTGCAGACAGGGATATCCATCCTGAAGAGTGATTGTTCAGCCACTGACAGTGCTTCATTGTTTGAATTGCTGTGCTCATTCTGAGTAGAGAGAGGCCCTCCATCTATTACAAAGGTAGCACATGCATGTGGAATATGCAGCTAATTTAACAATGATCCATATTTGGAGTGCTGTCAAAGTCTTGCAGTGCCTGTGAATTATCACTCAGGCAAATTTTACAGCCTTAAACTGTTGATTTTACTGCACTCTCTTCATAACTGTAGCACCTAGAAGAACTTTAATATCACAGACACTTCAATCTTCAGATTCAGATCCCTAGGGAGTGTCTTCATCTGGTCAGACTCAAAGCACATGAGTAACTTCAGCCCAGAAGCTGTTTGCCCCAGAGCACTGTGCTGTACTCACTGCAGAGATGTCTTGCCCTTAGTGAGAGGAGACAAGCACTGTCGACAGCCTGGAGTAGCTGAAATTTTTTCCTCTCTTGTATAACTTCTGCTGAAGCCAGAGTTTGAACTGAGGGCTAATTGAAATGGTGTTTTTCTGGCAATGGAGTACTTTTTGAGAAAATACAGAATCACAGAATGGTTTGATTTAGAAGGAGCCTCTGGAGATCATCTAGTCCAAGGTCCCTGCTGAAGCAGTTCACCTAGAGCGGGTGTAAAGGCCGTGGTAGCAGCATGAGTCTGGTGCAGGGATAGGCAACAGGCACAGACCTTCGTTAGCCTGCCTTAATAACCTGATTTCCCCCTAGGTATGAAAACTTCCAATAAAGTAAACTGGAAAAGAATCCCACAACACACATGGCACCAGGTACTCTTTATTAAGCTCTGTTTGTCAGTAAGACTTGGCAGCTTTTCCAGTGTAACGAGAAGCCTGGTAACTTTGGCACTCTGGGGCATTTCATTTCTTTTAGCACGGAAGGAATGAAGTTGGGGCCTTTTGTGGTACGTGCACAGATGTTGTGCTGTCATTTAAAAGTAATACTTCACTCAAACAAACTGTCTTGGTAAGAAACTGTGTTTGCTTTTGTTTGAGGTGAAGGAAGCTTCTCAGGAACCACAGATGGTGTTTACAGCACGTCGTGCAGCTATCACTTTCCAGACAGATGGAGAAACATGGAGAGAACAGAAAGAGAAAAAGGCAGCTCTGATGGTTGGCATCTTAATTGGAGTTTTTGTACTGTGCTGGATCCCTTTCTTCATCACAGAATTAATAAGTCCCCTCTGTTCCTGTAACATCCCGCCCGTCTGGAAAAGCATCTTTCTTTGGCTTGGCTACTCAAATTCTTTCTTTAATCCTCTCATTTATACAGCATTTAACAAAAATTATAACAATGCCTTCAAGAACCTTTTTGTAAAGCAAAGATAAAAGGAGACACAGAAGAGAAAATTATTATTGCATTATAGAGAGATTTCTTGAGGGAAACATTCCTGTGATATGTACAGTTTTTATGCACAAGAGCTACTTGAGGGGATTTAGGAGCAGTGAAAAAGAAGATGGAAGATGTCTGGATATAAACCTACTGAGAGTTTACAGTTCCCCTTTAGAAATACATATGTATTGTGCCAGGGTTTGGCAAAGAAGGTGGAGGCAGGGAATGCCTCTTGTCTGCTCTTCAAACCATCACGGGAAGCGGTGTATGTGTCCAGTGCTGCGGCTGTCACACCCAACACGGCTGATCCTGCCCAGCCAGCCCCGGGGCCGTGCTGGAGCTCTCCTCATTAGCAAAGGCACCGCTGGGAGCTGCTAATTGAGCAATACTGACATGTTTGTGACATGGGCAGGATGCTGGCTTCGGTTTTGAGGTTTATTTGGAAGGGAATAAACATTCTGCAGTTAATCAGTCCTTGAGCTGATGTGATATTAAAGTAGATGACCAAGCAGCTGAGAAACACATCCTGCCAGGATTGAGGGGCTGTGTGCTCTGCAAGCAGCAGGACTTGATGGGCAGGCCTGGTCAAACGGGGGTCAGCTGTGTCCCAAACACAAACAGGTCACAAACAGGGGTTAAGTGAAACTTTAGAGGCAAGTACAGAATTATTCAGAGCCCCTGAGATTGTGCTCTCACTGATTGCAAAGGAGGATCTAGTGAGGATTTTTCACTTGTGTTGTCCTCTCACTCTGCCAGGCTCAGGCTCTCCCTGTTTAATGAAACCCAGGTGAGCTCAAGATAGAAACCAACGCCTCCAAGTGAATGAAGACTGTATGTATGGTTATTTCATGCTGCCATAAAACTGAGCAGGCATCTGTGTTACAAACAGCAGCCAGGATGTTCAGTCACACCAGGTGTGCTGGCAGCTGCTTGGCAGTGCTAGGTGAGTACCTGCACCACGTCTGGGGCCCTTGCACCATAAATGTACTCATCAATCTGGGTGAAGTCAACAATTTGTCAGCTAGCATCAGCTTCCTCCTGCTGTAACAAAGGGGTGGATGCCATCAGGTCTGACTCCCCAAAACCCAAGCCTTAAATAGTTTTCCCAAGATCTGACAAACACCCCTGCCCCAACAATATATACATAAATAATCTATTTCCTTCCATACTGCCAAGTCCATCTTGCTTCATATTTGTTTCTCTGGTGGGTTTTACTTCCTCCCCTGCTCTGAGTGGGAGAGCTGACAGCATCTCTGAGTATTTCTAGCATGGCAGCTTTTTATTGACACAGAGTCCCAGGAGGCTTAAGAGAGCTTGGCTGCATCTCAGGAGCACAGTGTATGGTGAGGTCAGGCAGTGCTGTACCTCACACCTGCAGTGCTGTGACAGTCCAGTGTGATCTGCTGTGCCTGCAGCCGCAGTCACCTGTGTGTCTTGCATTCCTGCAGAGGATACTTCTCTCAATTTCAGTGGGAATTCAGAAGTCTTAATAACCTAGAATTTCAAAAAGTTGTTAGATAATGACTCAGAATTAAATGCCAATTTAAATAACTTTCCCTTGTGACTCTCAACTTGCCTGCATATGGAATAGCTACCATTCAAACCAGTGTTTGGAGGCTTAATTAAACCAGAAGGAAGGCACATATGTAAGAGACTGAATGTTACTAAAACCTGCAGCCTCCTTCAGAACCACTGACATATTTTTCAAGTCAATTGATTTTTTTTTATGTAAGAGAGTCAGTCCTCTAAAACCTTCAAAATCTAAACAGATTACATGGAAGGAGGAAATGCAGAAGTCACCTTGAGCTGGTGTTGAAAAGCATACAAATCTTCTGCATGTGGCACTCCTGAAGTTTCTGATAATCATGTTTTGGACAAATTTTAGTGCCAGTACTCCCTCTCAGCCTGCTAAGCCAAGCCATTACTATCACACAAATCCAATGGCAGCCCTGGTGCCCTGGTCCATCCCAGTCTGGCTGCACATTGCAACTGACTGGAGCAGCACCCGGCTCCAGTTCCAAAACCCTTCCCCGAAGCAAAACAGGCTGTGAAGGACCTTCTCCCTTGGCTTGGCCTCTGGAACCTGGGAGAACACCACAGAGCTGCAAGGCCCCTGTGCAGTTCCTGCAGCTGCACACGTGCAGGGCATTGCTGCAGACACTGACCTGCAGCAGAGTGCCTTCAGCAAGCGGGAGAGCTGCAGCAGGGCACTGACACAGCTCTCCTCCTCCTCAAGGATGAATTTAGCTCCCCTGGGAGGCAAGGCTGGGCCTCTGGAATTTTGCTGTGAGAAGTTCTGAAGATAAGCAGCCAGTGCTCTGCCCACCCAAGCATCTGTGCCAGCAGTGAGTGTTCCAGTGACAGGCTCACACAGCCGGCCCCAGCCTCCGTACGCACCCAGAGCGATGAGAGGCAAGCAGAGCTTTCATTTCATTACAGTGGCTTTAGAAAGCTCTTAACAAAATCAACTTCCCACACTGGCTCTAAATGCAGACTACATTCGGAAGAGCAGCAGCACATAGTTGGAATTTAAAATTCTGGTTTTTAATCACAGCTTACTGTGGAGCAAGGAAAATATGTTATCAGTGGTTGTTGCCTAACCTGCTGGATGCTCCCATACCAAGCTAAATGGCAGTATCTTGACTATCCAAACTGAAAAAAAAATAAAAATCAGGTATTCTGAAGGGACATCATTTGTCTTGGATGTTATTGTCATTTATTTCCCCAACAGAAGCTGCCAATTTGGAGTACACAATCATCTCTGCTTGTAAGCAGTGGACTACTAGTTTTAAACTATTATTTCCTGACACTGAATTTCCTCCTAGAAAAACTTATTGGAAAAAAACTTATTGGAGCCCATTGCTCAGCAGAAGCAATACTTAGATTGTTGCACCCTGCAACAAGGCTCTGATAATCCTGCAGCTGCTGTGCTGTGGGAGCCCAGACTGTGCAGAAATTAAAGTGCTTTGGAAGATGAGTGTGAGAAGACAATTCTAATAACCCTAATAAAGAAATAAAGTTTTGCTGCAAGTCCTGTAATTGTTACTTTACAAGCCTGGTAACACCAAATGAATTCAGGGCAAGACCTTTCTCTTTCAACAAGGAAATCCAGCAATACTGAAGAAAAAATCTGAGAAAGTCTCAATTTCTCACCTGCAATCAGTTGAGATGGAGATTTAAGGCAGATTCTCCTTGCTGTTTGTTCCTCCCCAGGTATGAGGAGAAATGGCACCCAACACATAGAACCTGTGCTGGAAAGCAAGGAACAGCTGCTGGAACTGCTTTCACACCCTCACCAGCCTCCTTCCTTCTCCTTTCCACATGGACCTCACGCCAAAGCTAGTGGCTATCAGCCCTGGGCTCCATCTACAACAGTCAGTTATGCTCTGATTTATCCTTTGTGAGCAACAACTGCATCTTCACAAACCTCAGATTTATATCTTAGTCAAAATCACAAGCTCCTAGTTATAGCAACAGATCTCACATTTTTACATTCCTTGTGGAAGTTTCCAGGTTACTGTGCTTGCAGCAGGTAAGCAGGAATTTTAACATTATACTGAACAAATAATCACATCATTTATTCTACATGCAAATTCATTATTTACCATACCTAGGAAATTTTGCTTGATGTTAAAAAGCAATCATGATTAAGATTATAAATCCCAAACTGAAATGCCCATTCAAGTTATAGTTTTAGAGTTTCATGGTACACAAACACAGCGCAGCTTGAATTCCCAAGTAGGTCTCCTTGGTGCCAAAGCTGAGTTAAGAAAGAAAGAGTCTTACAGTTTTTATAGAGGGCAAAGTTTGTAGACAGAAATAATGCCTCCCAATATCAAAGCTGACTACAGGAAGTCTACAAGCAGCACTCAGTGCAGGTTTCCTTCTTTGAAGGAATGCTAAATGTAAATTTTTCCTTCTTTGAAGGGACAGAATCTGATTTTGCCTTTGATATTTTGCTAGCCCAGGGCAGACTGACTTTTTGAACAGATGCAAGAGGAGCAGCCCAAATCTATTCCCTCACTAACCAGTGTGGGGGAGTGAGGTTCCAGCTTGCTCAGTGGGAAGGTTTTTCTGTTTGTGCTGAAGGAACAGGACATCACGAAAACAGTGACTTATTTGACTATGGACACGATTCATCTTTTAATGCACTTGTAATTCAAGAGCCTGGGAAAGCTTCCAAGGCAAGTGCCACCTTAAAAATACGATAGCAGAATGCCACTGGATCCCAAACATTCTTTATTTTATATTCACTGCCATAGAAAGTAATCAAACAGCACTGTCATCAGTGTCAGTGGCAAAAGAAGGAACATGAGTTTTCTTCTCCTGAAGATGTCAAGTACATTAAGAAGTCAGTCCAAAATCCTGGTGTTAAGTACAAAAAGCAACTGTTTGAATTATAAAATACTGTATATACAGATATAAAAATGTCTCAGAAAGTGTCCCACAAAGTTTCTGAACTTTCAAAAGCAAATCTTCAGCAGGGTAAGTAGGTTGTTGTCTTCAAAGGTGAGCATCAGTTCATTAGAGCAGAATGTCTCAATCTTTATCTTCCTATATTACAGGTGACAGACTTGGATTTTCATCCCAGCCAGGGATAACATGGTGATCCTAGTATTAAGGTGTTTTTTCCTGGAGCTATTAATTTAACAAGCACACTCTCTATATATAAAAATGAAATTTCAAAGAAATTTATACAACAGCTAAACTTTATAAAAATATAGATCTATAATTTTACACCAGGAATTATCCAAGGTAAGTTTTCATTTTCTTAGCCATTAGAAATTAATTGTTATCCTTTGGAATCTTATCTATGGCTAGAGTGTAAACTAAAATAATGTGAAGTTATTAGCTGGTAAAGCGAGTTTGAAGAATCTCATTCTGTGGGATTTTTTTGGGCCAAAATTAACAAACTGCTGCATTCTGCAGTGCTCATCCTGTGGGGTGGTGGACATATTACACAGTACATGTAAACTTATTCCAAAATTTTCACCTAATTCAGCATTGAAACCCAAATAAAAATCATTCCCACTGTCCTTACTGTAGAAAGAAAAACCAACCCCAAACACAAATAAATAAAATTAGACAGTATTTCTATTTTGCTGTACTGTGTTAACTCTTTACTGTGTAGTGGAGGCAATAAAGAATAATACAGCCATGTGATGAGGGAATGTAAACTGAACACATACTGGAAAAACCAGACTTTTACAGCTGTGTGTATATATATTTTATATATATATATCTATATATATCTATATATATACATCTACATTGCAGTTATAACTGTCACCTCACAAAAGAGATTCAATGGACTGAACAATCTTGTATAAACTTCCCAGCTGGAGTTCTTCAGGAAGAACTGGCTTTCAGCTTGGACAGCAGCATTTCATTCTTGCGGCATTCCTGTTAACAGAGGGCAAACACGTAAGGAGGAATTGCTCTTAACACTGCTACCTGTAGCTGCACATCAACAGAACCAAACCTTTTCTCTCATTTTGAAACATCTCCAGGATCCAAAGCAGCCTAAAGTGACGAGCTGAAGATAATTCTGAGTCATCCATAATGTTATTTCAGTGGCAACATTCATTAAACTTTATGACATGCAAGCCTGAAGGACTGCTGCTTGACCTCCCATCTAAAGTTGTTACATGTAGCTAAAGCAAATTCAGCTTTTTACTTTTAAATAGAATAAATGTGAAATGGAGATTACTTGGAGATGATCTGTAACCTCACAGGACAGCTTGCAAAAGAGTCAGTGCTCAGGGAACAAGTCTCGGTCAGGAAATACATTTACATAAGCACACCTGTGTTCAGTACCACAACCATGAATTCTTTTATTTTTAAGGGTAGCAGAGTTGAGGAGAAATTCCCTCATATGGCAATGGAAGAAAAATAGATAGAAAAACCTAAAAATAAATCTACCTAAATTCTCCAAGTAGGATATAAAATTCTGTATGTCAGACAAGTACCTGAACAGGCCCTGTCATTCTGCCAGAGTACACTAAAACAGGAAAGAACTGTCTCAGAACAAAGCAGGAGTAATTACACAAAGATGTTTTTCCTTGAACATATGAAGCCAAATGACAATTTTGCCTGCAGCATTCCTGTTCATTCATTCATTCATTCATTCATTCATTCATTAAGTAACAGAAGTCCATGATGATTAAAAGCTTGGGAAAGGCCAAATCAATGAAGTGTTATACAGTGCTTTCACAGTCATTAGGCAACAAGGCTGGTTCCTTGAAGATTAATGACCAAGACCCTGCATTTCCTTCTTATTCACACAGATTTCCACACCCCTCTTTGTTCCAATACCTAACTACTCACAATCTTCAAAAGATTCCCCTTGAAAACCTAAATACCACTTGCTTGATAACCTGTAACATGGAGAGGTGCCAATCTAGCAGTGAAAGAACTCCCGGAATCAAATTCAGAGTCCAAGATTCACGTGGAGAAAACGACCAAGATACATCATGAACATGGTGTGATAAGCATCCTATCAGGAAATCTTGTGCATATATTAATGCACAAGTCACATCAAAATGGGTCAC